AATTGGTTGCAATATCTCAGGCAAATGAAAAAAAGTTTTTTGTTGTTGAGCAGTGTAATAATAATAATAATAATAATAATAATAATATTAAAATAAATATCAAAGTATTCTATCTATCATATAATTATCATCTTAACATCCAATAAACTAAAATGTTTCTCAACACATCTCGCTCTCCAAGCAACATGGCGGCGAGTGTCTAGTCTGACCTTTCAAACTAAGGGCCTAGGGCTTGTAATCATGTGGTTCCTGACGCAAACTGTCGCTGCGCAGAACTAGCAAAACTCGGTGCGGTGGTCTCCACCTTTTCACCACCTTCATCTACCATGGTGAGCATTGCCCCCACGCTATCGAAACGAGGTGATTTTCGAACTCGAGCTTGTAGCTCTCAAATGAAAACTTTTTGCAATTTTCGAAAATGCTGAGAGTTTGCCGACACTAGGACACAAACATTTTCTTCATACCTCCAGGATGAAAGTAAGTGATTTAAAAAAAAAGATCACGCTGATTTCGAAAAACATCACAAAAAGTTTCTACCGCGCAAGGTTCAAAAGATATAAACAAATTTATTATTTGAAATAAAAAAAATCCACATTCTCATTCCGGTTATATAACTACGAAATTTTAGGTAAGAACAAGTTAAAAATGGAATACGCATATCCGTGCAATAATATGCAGACATTAAAACGGTTTGTTGGTATTCTCCACAGCATTGGTACAGCGAATGACAATGATTTGAGTTTTCCCTACAACCACAACCTATGGTTCGTTGTACAGATGACGAACACTGGTGAGCAGTCCATGGTTTGTCCTGATTACAAACGACAGTCTAAATATAATAAATACTTAAGTTTTGTAATTTTATATATTTTTTCCTTTGAAGTTTGGATGCACATCTTCCACAAACGTAACACAATTTATCGGGTGGATTCGCACACTTTCAATGCGAAATGACGATTTGTATTTTATCGAACCGATTCAATTCTACAGATCATGTGGCGAATTTAACTTTATAAAAACACAGAACTATAATGTATTTGAGGCATACTCAAACCAGGTACGAACTTTACCCGCTCTGCGGGTACAGTTCCGGATGACACGGACTGACTCAGAATCTGTCATCGCAACAGTTGGATACTTGCGATAAAGTAAGGGACTAAAATAATTCCTTTCGATGACTGATGCTCAGTAAGAAATATGAGGGTGCACGTGACTTTTTTCAAAACCAACTGAAAACTACTCGTAATTGAGCGCGACTACCAAAAGCGAGAATAAAGACTGCAATCTTCGAATTCAGATGATAAAAAAAAACCAGCCCCTTGGACGTCTTCGATGGAATCCAAACGTCCATTCATGGCCCCTTTCAGGTGAGGGAAGAGAAGTCAGGTGGAGCCACCATCTGGGATGTAGGGTGTGTGTGGCAACGTGACAATGCCGTACTGTGCCAGCCGCTCCTGCTCTAACAGTGCGGTGTGGCACGGCGCAGCGTCGTGGGGGTGCTTCCACGAAAGTGCATAGTCTAGTCGCATGCAGTTGACTCGTTTCTCGCAACCGACCGACTACTTCCGCGTAAACTTGTGCATTCACGATTTGCCCAGGTGATAACAGACGATCGAAGTCTAGAAGTTGTTTCATTTTTGTCACCGTTTCGTCGACACTTGTGCCGAAGGGAGACCGGCGCACGTAAGTGTATTGTGTACAAAAAGCTGGCCAAAATTATTGCTTCGCTAGAATTTACTTAAAATCAGTTAATATGTGTATTTATAGACGATTACATATTTTGGCACCAGGTACTTAAATATAAGCTTGCAATACAAATTATTAAATGTGGGTTAGTTCAGGGGATACATAGAAACCCTACTAAATAGATATAGTAAATTGTGTTACACTAGTCTACTTAGATAATTCTCTAATTCGCGACATTTCCAATCGCTAAAATTCTTCATTATTATCATCTACCTTTTCTTCTTCTTGTATCTTCTTTTCTTCTGGGATTTGCCTTGTACTTGTAGCATCTTCAAAATGTAGTTTCCTGCGTCACTAGCTAAGGCTTCTCTTTGTCTTCTTACTGGACGCCGGGAACATGACAGTAGTGGAACTGAGCCCAGTAAGAATCTGTTCAGTACGTCCTTGTTACAAGTTTTTGGAAATTTTCTAGCAAAATCCATTCTGTACAAACGAAAGTGGTTTCTGGCTTCAGCCGCTTCTTCTGAAAGCTGGCCTAATGGCAGAATTGCATGCTTTATAATTGTTGGTTAATGACCCGATATTTGATGTACAGTGGGCGTCAATGGGCGCCACCCCATGAAGCCTCTCCAAGTTCTGCAGTTTCTCTACTGAAGATCGCAAATTTGCTCGTTTGTATTATATGGACCCTTGAAATTACTTCTAGAATAATTCTAAACCTATTTCTGAAGTCAAAATTCACTCCGGTTATTTTTGAAACTGTGGATCTGAGAAGAATCTGCGCGAAATGTTGCCATCAATAGTGTTACCGATGCCAGCGTTTGTTATATCAACTATAGGCTTAGATCCTGCTTGCCACTTTTTGATTGGTAATTTGTGGGACAAGTGGAGAATATACTATTTTTTCACGTTCCTGGAAGCTTGTTATTGCCTTGCGCATTGTTGATACTCTTTTAGGAAATTTCGACATTTCGTTCTTAACAGCAGATGCATCAGTTTTACCAGCAGTTCCGTTCTTAAACTCATTTTTGCATAAGTCAATGTGGACTGATACTTGCTTCCGTAACTATTGCGTTTTGCTTCGTTTGCTGCGATCACTCGACTCTCCGAATTCCTCTATCAGTCGTCCCGCCTTTGTCATTATTGGTAGTTTTACAGCATCGATAAGACACATTTCATTATTTTTTACAAATGTTTCTTCCACATTAAATGCAGCTGTCCACTTTTGTTTGAACTCAGATATGAAAAACCGTAATTATGTTTAAATTCGTTCACTTTTTCCGACGGAAAATTTGTGATTTTGGACAAATGATTGTCCAGAAATTTAATCTTGTCATCAATTAAACTTCCAGAACACTGCTACAGCAGTACAGTTCCCCTAAAGTCATCTCCTTAAATTTTTTTTCGTATCTAGAACAAAAATCATACTGGTATTCGTAAATTTCGCGAATTTCGTTACTCCACAAATCTTTAAATGAAGTGCCATAAAAGACAATTGTGGAAATATGTGGGAAGTTTTTCCTTTTCTAACAGTTAGGATACGAACTTTGAACAACTTGTAATACAAATTTTTGCTTGACACATCCTGACAATATAACTTACACATTGATGTTTGATAAAAGTCAACTCGAAATTTGACGCGCGCGCGCGCACGCACGCACGCGCACACGCGCGCACACACACACGCTCACGCGCAAGCGCGCACACACACACGCTCACGCGCAAGCGCGCACACACACACACGCGAACGCACACG